ATATATTTCATTGTAAAATTCGAGTCAAATTCTCACTTTATATTCATTAGCAAAGATTGTGTAATACTCGCGAGAATTCAATTATATAATTACAATATACTGCTATAGCGTTCTCAATATTCTCAAATAATTAACAACTAATTTTCATAAGTCTTTCTCTTATTTATTTAATTAAAACCCAAACAGTGATTCAGTACAACGCTATTCACGACGAATCTCTTTCAAATGAACAAATTTATTGATTTATGAATAGTTAATATCTATATTTAACTCAATAAATGCTAAATTTAAATATAGTATCTGCGAATTAGCATTAATTAAAATTTCAGCACAAATTATTATAATATATACTAATACATACACTCGCTAAGTATGCACACATTTATCCTATAGAGATAAATCACTGCACTAGAGATTAAAGTTTTGAATTTAAACGCAAACTTTGGAGTACTCTAAACAATATCTAAGCACTAATTCATTAAGAAATCGCTGAAATCAAGTAATAAAAAACATCGAAATGCCTTTTGTTTCGATAAGAGCCTGTATTTAGTATTTAGTGTTTTTAGTGCTATTAGCGGTTCCCGGTTATTGATTGCCGAAAAAGTACTTACTTTTATGGATCTCTAACAACATTTGTGTTCATTAATTATTTGGCTAATGAGTTAATGAGTAGTTTAAATGAAAAATCCTCTCTCTTTAAGAATACAGCGATTAATAGGCCGATAGAGTGAAGACATACCAGTTCTTTGAGATCGTGTCCCGACGAGAAGACGGATCCATTAGAGCTAATGACAACACATCGAAGTGACGGATTGTCGGCTATTACTTCCCGCAGACTTTCTATCATTGNCAGCGATTAATAGGCCGATAGAGTGAAGACATACCAGTTCTTTGAGATCGTGTCCCGACGAGAAGACGGATCCATTAGAGCTAATGACAACACATCGAAGTGACGGATTGTCGGCTATTACTTCCCGCAGACTTTCTATCATTGATAGCGACAACACATTCCTATTAAACACACCATTCGGTCAAATATTCTGGAAATTATTATTTCTAAATAAAGTAGTATTTTGTGCTAATTTTCGTTACAAAATACAAATATTGTATTTAAAGATTATATTTGGCAATACAGTAACTTATATAGTTTTAAACTTCATTTGTTATCTTACAATTCAACACATATAATATACTATACAGTAGTACAAAACTCATATTTGATATTTTAATAATAATTGAAATTCATTAACATTTAATGATATACTGTATAATATATATTTGTTTTCTGTATATTAATTCATAATAATCTTAATCCCTGTACTGATTTTGATAATTTAATGCTATTTATTCACAAAAGAGGAAGTTTTCATAATAGTATTCTATATTTTAGCAAAATTTCAAAAATTAGTCATAAATAAGTAATAATCAAATAAAAGTAAGGTTATATCAAAAGTGCAAATATAGTAGTATGATATTCACTGAAAACTGATTTAAAATATCATAAATTCTGTTAAACTCTCTCAACGAAAGCCATGGGCTATGAAACGAAATATTTATGTAATTCAAGAATATTCTCTCAAAAGCCAAATTCTTTGAATAAATGTATGCTTTTTTATTCGAGCATTTCGTGACCAAAATTTGTGAATATGTTTGGAGAGAATGTAAATGAATATTCTTATATTCCAATACACATACCATTATAAAGTATCACATTTTCTATTGAAGTTTTATTTTTGTAAAAAGATATGCGAATTCAATATTAAATACCAATGAGACTCACCATTCAATTCCAAACACTCATATAAAAGTAAATATTATTCAGTTTAAACTTTAAAGTGAAATGATTTTAACAAAACTTTTTTATTAATGAAAATCCAGAGTGGCTATAAAAACTAAAATATACTGTCATTTTATAGACATGACTTCACAAAATGAGATATCGTTTTTTGAATCTAAAGTTTAACTCAAGTGCCATGGTCATTGTATGGAAATAGAATACTATTGAATCACGGTAATATTGTATTACAAATAATCCATTAGTCTTAATTATGGTATCAAATGTGGTTATGTAGAATATTCTGGCCAACACTACATACTAATTAACAATACCTTAATATTATTAAATATTTGTTAATTTAAATTATATAAATTCTATACTAGTTATGTTAATCTATTGTTGTTTAAGGTATTCAATGTACATTAAGTGATAGTATAACAGTTATTAGGTTTATCAATGGTTAACCTCTTTTTGGGATTATTGAGAGTCACTTCTCGGACACCATTGGTTTCATTGACCATAAGTAGGCTTTGTTTTCCATCAACTGATTGACACTTATATGAAGTGCTTTGAAACGATCGCGCATTCAATCCAATGGTCAATGTCTTTGTGAACGCAAACATACAATTCATAGTTAATTATAGCCAT